GTTTTCATCCATTTTTTTCAGTTTGCTCATTTTTAGTGTATAGAAATGCTAATGATTTTTCTATGTTGATTTTATATCCTGCTACCTTGCTATAGCTATTGATGATGTCTAGAAGCTTCTGAGTAGAGTTTTTTGGGTCTTTAAGGTATAGGATCATGTCGTCTGCAAATAGGATATTTTGACAGTTTTTTACCTATTTGTATTCCTTTTATTCCTTCTTCTTGCCTAATTGCTCTGGCTAGGAATTCAGTACTATGTTGAATAGGAGTGGAGATAGTGGCATCCTTGTCTGGTTCCTGATTTTAGAGGGAATGGTTTCAGTTTTTCTCCGTTAAGTATAATGCTGGCTGTAGGTTTGTCATATATAGCTTTTATAATGTTGAGGAACTTTCCTTCTATTCCTAGTTTTCTTAGAGCTTTTATCATGAAATGGTGTTGGATCTTATCAAAGGCTTTTTCTGCATCTATTGAGATGATCAAGTGGTTTTTGTCTTTGCTTCTGTTAATGTGGTTTATTACGTTTATTGATTTTCGTATGTTGAACCACCCCTGCATTCCTGGGATGAAGCCTACTTGGTCATGGTGAATAATCTTTTTGATGTGTTGCTGAATTCGGTTTGCCATTATTTTGTTGAGGATTTTTGCATCAATGTTCATTAAGGAGATTGGCCTATAGTTCTCCTTTTTGGAGGTGTCTTTGCCTGGTTTTGGGATAAGTGTAATACTGGCTTCATAAAATGTGTTTCAGTTTTCCTTCCCTTTCTATTTCATGGAACAGTTTAAGGAGGGTTGGTATCAGTTCTTCTTTAAAGGTCTGATAGAATTCAGCAGAGAATCCATCAGGTCCTGGACTTTTCTTTTTGGGGAGACTCTTGATTGCTGCTTCAATTTCATTTTGTGTTATAGTCTATTCAGGTGATTAATTTCCTCTTGGTTCAGTTTTGGATGATCATATGTATCTAGAAATCTGTCCATTTCTTTTAGATTTTCAAATTTATTTGAATATAGGTTCTCAAAGTAGTCTCTGATGATTTCCTGGACTTCCATGGTGTTTGTTGTTATCTCCCCTTTTGCATTCCTATTCTACTAATTTGGGTTTTTTCTCTCCTCATTTTAGTCAGGTTTGCCAGGGGTCTATCGATCTTGTTTATTTTTTCAAAGAACCAACTTTTTGTTTCATTAATTCTTTGTATGGTTTTTTTGGTTTCTATTTTGTTGATTTCAGCTCTTATTTTTATTATTTCTCTCCTTCTATTTGTTTTGGGGTTTGCTTGTTCTTGTTTTTCTAGGAGTTGAGGTGTATCATTAGGTCATTGATTTGGGATCTTTCAATCTTTTTAATATATGCACTCATGGCTATAAACTTTCCTCTCAAGACTGCCTTAGCTGTGTCCCATAGGTTCCGGTAGGTTGTGTTTTCATTTTCATTGACTTCCAGGAACTTTTTAATTTCCTCTTTTATTGCATCGATGATCCACTCTTCATTAAGTAATGAGTTATTTAGTTTCCACCTGTTTGCATGTTTTTTGTCTTTACTTTTGTTGTTGAGTTCTACTTTTACTGCATTGTGGTCAGTTGGTATGCACGGTATTATTTCTATTTTCTTATATTTGCTGAGGCTTGCTTTGTGCCCTAGGATATGATCTATTTTGGAGAAGGTTCCATGGGCTGCTGAGAAGAATGTATATTGTGTAGAGGTTGGATGAAATGTTCTGTAGACATCAACTAGGTCCATTGATCTATTGCATATTTTAGATCTTGGATTTCTTTATTGAGTTTTTGTTTGGATGACCTATCTATTGATGATAATGGAGTGTTAAAGTCTCCCACAACCACTGTGTTGGCGTTTATATATGCTTTTAGGTCTTTCAGGGTATGTTTGATGAAATTGGGTGCGTTGACATTGGGTGCGTACAGATTGATGATTATTATTTCCTTTTGGTCTATTTCCCCTTTTATTAGTATGGAATGTCCTTCTTTATCTCATTTGATCAATGTAGGTTTGAAGTCTACTTTGTCAGAGATAAGTATTGCTACTCCTGCCTTGTTTTCGGGGCCATTGGCTTGGTAAATCTTCTTCCAGCCTTTCATCCTAAGCATATGCTTATTTCTGTCGGTGAGATGAGTCTCCTGTAAGCAACAAATTGTTGGATCTTCTTTTTAATCCATTTGTCAAACGTGTCTTTTGATGGGTGAATTAAGTCCATTAACATTAAGTTAGTACTGATAGGTATGTGGTGATTCCTGCCATTTAGTTTCTTAGTTGTTTGAAGGTTTGATTGTTGTACCTAACTTGATGTTACTCTCTACTGTCTTGCTTTTTCTTATCCTGTGGTTTGGTGCTGCCTGCCTTTTCATGGTTAAGTTGGGTGTCACTTTCTGTGTGCAGGATCCCTTGCAGAATCTTTGTAATGGTGGCTTTGTGGTCACATATTGTTTTAGTTTCTGCTTATCATGGAAGACTTTTATTGCTCCATCTATTTTGAATGATAGCTTTGCTGGTAGAGTATCCTGGGGTTGAAGTTATTTTCATTCAGTGCCGGAAGATCTCACCCACGCTCTTCTTGCTTTTAATGTTTCTGTTGAGAAGTCTGCTGTGATTTTGATGGGTTTACCTTTGTATGTTACTTGTTTTTTCTCTCTTACAGCCTTCAATATTCTTTCCTTAGTTTCTGAACTTGTTGTTTTAATGATGATATGTCGTGGAGTAGTTCTATTTTGATCTGGTCTGTTTGGTGTCCTGGAGGCCTCTTGCATCTGTATGGGAATATCTTTCTCTAGATTTGGGAAATTTTCCGTTATTATTTTGTTGAATATATTACGCATTTCCTTCGCTTGCACCTCTTCTCCTTCTTCAATGCCCATGATTCTCAAGTTTGGTCTTTTGATGGAGTCAGTGAGTTCTTGCATTTTCTTTTCACAGGTCTTGAGTTGTTTAATTAATATTTCTTTGGTTTTTCCTTTAATTACCATTTCATCTTCAAGTTCTGAGATTCTGTCTTCTGTTTGTTCTATTCTGCTGGATTGGCCTTCCGTTTTGTTTTGCAGTTCTGTTTCATTCTTTTTTTCTGAGGTTTTCCATATCCTGGCAGTTCTTTATTGTTGTCTATTTTTGTCCTGAGTTCATTTATCTTTATTCATTGTGTTCTCTCTTTCACTTTGTGTTTATACAGTGCTTCTATGGTTTCCTTTATTTCTTCTTTTGCTTTTTCAAATTCTCTATTTTTATTGTCTTGGAATTTCTTGAGTGTCTCCTGTACATTTTGGTTGACCCTATCCAGTATCATCTCTATAAAATTCTCATTGAGTACTTGTAGTATGTCTTCTTTTAAATTATTCTTGTGGGCTTCATTGGGTCCTTTGGCATAGTTTATCTTCATTTTGTTGGAGTCTGGATCTGAGTTTCTGTTCTCTTCATTCCCCTCTGGTTCCTGTACTAATTTTTTGCTGTGGGGAAACTGGTTTCCCTGTTTTTTCTGTCTTCCCATCATTGTCCTTGGTGTTGTTACTGTCCCTGTACTGTGTGCAATTAAGTATTTTCTAGCTTGTAATAATAACAATGGTAATATTTAGAATGGAAGAGTGAGCTGAGATGGAAAGCAAGAAGTTAAAGAAAAGGGGAAAACAAATATACAGACAAGAGGGAGAAAGCAGAACAAGGTGTCAGAGAAGAGAGTTTCAAAGGTATAAACAGGGAGTGTTAGTGTACTAATTGACAGTAAGCTGAACAGACATTAGAGAGAGAGAGGATTGAAAATCAAAGATAAAAGAAAAAATAAAAAATAAGTAAATGAAAGTAATATCTATATATAAAAATGAATTGAAATAAAATGGAAAATAGAAAATTAAAAAAAAAAAAACCAAAAAACTTCCAAGTTTATATGCAATGCAGTTTCAGTCTTAATAATTTGGGTGTCCGTCTCAATCTCCAGTCCTGGAGTTGGTGCCTCAGATATTGTAATGTAGTTGTCTCATCAAAGGGTATGCATAAAGTAGAACAAAACTACACTCACACACACACTCACACACACACACACACACACACACACACACACACAAAAAAAAAACCCCACCAAGTGTCCCCAGTTCAAATGCAATACAGTTTCAGTAAGTTTTTCAGCTTGCAGGTGTAATTCGGTTGTTCTCTTATCAAAGGTAGGGAGAAAAAGAAAAAAAAGCGTCTGGAGGCAGTTCTGAGAGTGGTATCTGCAACTGTGGCTTGCCTGCCTGCTGCTCTCAGCCTGTAGCTGGCGGCGTTATTTATGCAGATCTCTGGGGTGAGCTAGCACTCACCTGGTCCCACAGGCTTTGTTTGCTCAGAGTTCTCCTGTGCGGGAGCCTCTGCTACAGGCTTTCCCCTTTCCAAGCACTGGGAAAGGTGACACTGCCCTGCATTGTCAGTCCTGCGTGTTTATTTACAGTTCATGTGGGAGGTGGGTCTTCCCCCCTCTTCTCTGCAGTTTTCCTCCCACTGCCACTTTCAGAAGCTTTCCTGCTCCTGCTTACTGGGCGGTGCTGCTGCTCCTGACAGCCGCCTTGGTTGTTTACAGTTCACGTGGGAAGTGGGTCTTCCCTCCTCTCACAACCTTCCCCGCTCCTGGTTGCTGGGTGCACGCCCCGCTCCTGCCAGAGGCTCTCTGGCCGGCCTGGCTTATTTACAGTCCCGGGAAGGATTCCCTTCCCCCAATCTTCAGCGCACAGAGCGCCCCACCCTCTTTCCAGCGTGTCTTAACTGTTCTTATTGCTTAGTACTCAGTTTCTCTTTTTTTCCTGGGTGGAGGTCAGTCTGTCCAGGGGGCTGTGCTGCTCTGGCCCAGGCTTATCTGTGGGGGAACCGCGGTACTGCGAAGCTCACCTGGTCCGCGTCTTCCCAAGCCGTATGGGCCACATTCTGTGATTTTAAAACAGAGACTATCTCTTCTATCATACATACTTCTGTCTATTTCCTCTATAATTATTTCTAAGTAGTATGGTAATTGGGCTCTGAATTATGTTTGCAGGTAATTGAAAAGAAAAATTCCCAATTAGATGGGTCTGAAATAGTGCTGCTGACTGATGGGGAGGACAGCACTGCAGGTAGTTGTGTTGAGACTGTGAAGCAAAGTGGGGTCATCCTTCATCTTCTTGCTTTGGGACCAGATGCTGCTATAGCAGTAATACAGATGAGCGATATAACAGGTAAAGCAAGACCTATATATTCTACACCTTTAATTACAATATGTAAATGTAGACCTTCACAACTCAACAACTTCTCTTGAGCTCCTGCTCTGCAGGTACTCTGCCAGGATTTGGAGACCAGAGTCAAACCTGCCCCAATCTCTTTTCTCATGGTGTTCAAAGTGCAGTGGTCTGGAGGAATAAATAAAATAGAACCAGATGACATTCCTGCATTACTGGAATAATAAAAAATAAAGTTCTATGTGAGCAGAGGGAGCCACCAATTCCCACAGGGTTGTATAGCATAAGGGAAAGAAAGCGTGAGAGACTAAATGCCTTAGTCTCTCAAAAAAGGGTGCTGAGTTTTCTAGGAAGAAAAGATGAGGAAAGATGACCAAGACATAATCAAAAAAATGATAAATGAAAAAGCATGTGGCAGTGACAATACAAACACATGAGGGAATGGTGTCCCCTGAGATCAGCGCTATCTACCACACATGGGCTGTGAGGTGGGAGAACATGAGCTCAGGTTAAAAAGAAACAGTGAAGTTTAGATCATCACTAACCATAGTGGCTGTTATTTGAGGCACACAGAAGTGATGAAAATGGGTTCCATATTTCTAATGCCTTCTTACACATAGTAAAGAATACACAATTTACATCATGGGTATTAAGAATTTTATCCAACTGGCTTTTATGGTACCACATATATACTTGTTTTTTAATGCTTGGTTGTATAAACTCTGATATGCAGGAATTTTCAGGTGTTGGGGTTCTTGGTCCACTCTGAAATAGAAAGCAAAGGCGTATTCAAGCAGCAGAAGTCAGAAAGATTTTATTTGCAGAGAAGAGAAGAGAAAGGCTGCATGGGGCATGCAGTGATGCCTGGAAACCAGTGATCCCATGGGTCAGATTGGAAAATGGGTTTTATAGCCTTTTTTTTAATTGCCTGAGGTGGAGATGTCTCTCTGGTGCAAACAGATGTTTCTGGGGAAGAAGAAGTGTCTTCCTTACTAATTATCACCTTTTGGGAACTCCTGCAGTCTGCCCTTCAACTCCTATCATTTCAAAGTGCTTTCATGGCCATTATAAAACTTATTTCTGCCTAAGATGTACCTTTTGGGGCTAGTCCCCCTGTTTTACTATTCTTCTATCCTCTCAGTGCCAGCTACTGTCAGGACACCTGGGGATACAGCACCCCTTTTGTCTTTCTCATTTTGTGTTTCTGATCCACTTTGTCTGAAAAAACCTGAAAGCCAACTTTGTTAGAACTATTTGTTAAATAAAAATGGAAAGGGTCTGTAACATCTGTGAGTCTAAATACCTGGAATTGTATCCAGGTATTGTGTCCAAGAGACACTCAGAGAAGCAGGAGAACTCATATTTTTATTTTCTTTGAAGCCTGTAGTCCCAGATGACACATACTCAAAATTCTGGGCCCCAGCAGTGAAATCACAGGATTCTTAAAGGGCAGTGCAGGGGATCAGGTTAGAGGGAACATGCTGGTTACTAATAGGTGGTCTCACACTGGGGTTAGGGACCTGGGATTGTTTAGGTAGGAGCAGCAGAGGGGCCTGTTTCTGAAAGTCTGCTTACAGAAGGAGACAAAGAAAGGTGGGAATGGGCACTAGAGGATCCATAGCAAGAAATCTGTTTGCAGAAGAAAACAAAGGAAAGGTGGAAATGGGTGGCTATCTCCACATGGGTCCTTTTATCTTGGCCCTGGACTCATTTTATGGCTTAACTGGTAATTTCTTGTATCCCATAATCTGCTTTGAAGTAATTTCCTGTTCAGCAATGTCTTCTTTTATGGTCTGTGAATATTTGATGTATTTCACCTAGGTGAGGTATCTGTAATAAATGTAGCTTATATCTTATACTTATGATATTTTAAATTAGCATTATATAGTTGATATTTACAGCACTCTAATACTGGCCTAGCTGGATAATACAAGCTAAAACTTTTATTTTGCTTAAACTGTTAACTTTTTAATGATTAACATGTGATAAGTACTTATTAAAAAGCAACCTAACTAATGTGCTTAATTTTAGGAGGAAAACATTTGTATGCTACAGATACAGCTGAAAACAATGGCCTCATTGATGCTTTTGGGTCCCTTACATCAGAAAATGCCAATCCCACCCAGAAAGCACTTCAGGTCAGAGTTCCCACACCTAGGAGCTTTGCTTGCATTGACCATAAGTAAGAAAAAAGGATTTGGTAGTTTTTGCTGAGGGAGTGCTTCAAGTGGTAGAGCACAGGCAGGAGACCTTGAGTTCAAACCCCAGTACCAGCCCCTCCCCACAAAAAATTGATAGTTTTAAGTTTGAGTTCTCTATTTTCTTCAAAGTGAAGTTTTAATTAAAATTAAAATTTAATCTAAAATATAAATTATTCATTAGCTACAACCAAATTTGTGGTTAAATAAGAATAAAATAACTGGTAAAATATCAGTTTTTTTTTTCTTATTTCCATAGAGTGTAGTCAAGGGATAACTGAAAACTAAATAATACCAAATTTTCCACCAAAAATAACTTTGTCCATTTTTTAACATTTTTATTGGTTTATAACAGAGGTACAGGAGGTTTCATTGTGACTGTCCTGTATCCCACATTTATTTTCCTCTAATACTACCAAAACCATCTTATTTTCTTAGCCTTTCCTGATAAGGAGTCAAAATGGCATTTACATTCAAATTTAACTCATGTCCACTCAAAGACATGTACTTGACAGGGGACTAAGATTTTTGTCATAACAATGATGTTTCAAAGCAGAATTCAGTGGATTCTGATAACTGAGTTTTTGATTAAGCACTGAGTTGGAATAGAAATAGAATTTCCTATTGTTCCTGAAGTGGTGCCCTCTAGGAATCTTCTGGTGAGAGGTAAATTTGGATCTCCTGGGACTTCATGTTAGGTGAAATAAACAAAGCAAAAAACACAAGTGTGCATGATGTCACATGGGGAATCCAAAAAGTTGAACTAATAGAAGCAAAAAAGAAAATGATTATTACAAGTAGCTGGTGGAGTGTAAAATTTGGAAAGATATTAGGTAAAGGATACAAAGTTTCACATAGGAGAAATAAGTTCAAGAGATCTATTACACAAACCTGTTGACTATAGTTAAGTAACATGCATTGTAGTCTTAAAAATAGCCAAGGTAGTAGATTTAATTGATCTTACCACAAAAAACAAAGGATAAGTATGTAAGATTATGCTAATTAGCTTGATTTAGCCCTCCCATAATGTATGTATATTTCAAAACATCATGCTGTACATATAAATATATACAATTTTTGTGACTAAAAAAAAAGTTGACTCTTCAAGACTAAGAGCTATCAGCAAAGACTTGAATAACCTCTTTAAAGCTCCTCTCAAAAAGTCTCATCTTTTACTTTCTCTCTTCTCAAGATTTCATTCTTCACATATCAGTATGTTCTCTTGTTGAATGTATTTTCTGTCTGGTGGTTCTCCCTCTATCATGTGTGAAAAATTATTTCAGGATTCCACATTAGGAAAATATCCATGAGTGCTTGTCTCAGTTACTTATTAGTCTTTATTTTAGCTCTGAGGCCTTGACTCTGTCTCTACTCAAATACTCTAGTCACAGCCCAATAAACTCTCAGAAATATTACAGTGTAAGGTGGTATGCCATATGTAAGCTTGTTTCAGACCAAAATTTAAGAGTTATCTTTAAAAGAAAAAAGAATAAGATTATTCTCTTCTGCAGTCATTAATTTTTAAATATATTTAAACAGCTGGAAAGTAAGGGATCAACACTGAACAGTGATTCCTGGATGAATGACACTGTAATCATTGACAGCACCGTGGGAAAGGACACATTCTTTCAAGTCACATGGAGCAAACAGCCTCCCAAAATTTCTCTCTGGAATCCCAGTGGAACACCAGTCACAAATTTCATAGTGGACACTGCTTCCAAAATGGCCTATCTTACTATTCCAGGAACTGCACAGGTAAGCAATCAGTTGTTTGAATGCCTCTGAAAAAATTTTTAGTTGAAAATCAATTGTTTCATGTCATAAATATGTCAAAGATTATATCATCTTGGAAATTAAAATAAAATACCATGCACTTTTCTGGCCTGTGTGATCCTAAAATTACATGGCAGAGAAGAGGAAGGATGAAAGAAGGAAGACAAGGGAGTCTAAGAACCGTAAGGATGAAGTATAGGAAGGATTTGTGTAAGTTGGTGTAGAGACAGCTACAGAGCCCTTCCTTCCTAATGCTACCAGGTCATAGAATCTGTGACTGTGAAGGTAGCAAAAAGGCCAAAACTCAGGCAATTTTTATAGCCAAGATATCACAAAGTATAGATGCTATGCATAGCACTCTCTGGTGATTGCCTAATTGCCTCAGTTTACAACTTTTAAAACCTGAAAACCCTCAAAGCCTGTTTTTTTCACCACACTGTTGCAATTTTACAATTGCTTAATGGAAACAAGGATAGTTTGACTCTGGATACTTACTGTATATTTCCATCGACAATTTCAGGTGGGCATTTGGACTTACCATCTTCAGGCCAAAGCAGACTCAGAAATACTAACTATGACAGTGACTTCTCGGGCAGCAAGTTCTTCTGTGCCTCCGATCACAGTGAATGCTAAAATGAATAAAAACTCCAACAGCTTCCCCAACCCAATGATTGTTTACGCAGAAGTTCTACAGGGCTACATACCTATCATTGGAGCCAGTGTGACAGCTATCATTGAATCAAACAGTGGAAAATCAAAAGTTTTGGAACTTTTGGATAATGGAGCAGGTAATTCACAGGCTTTTAGGAATAAGTGGATGTTTTCTTAACTCAGGATTGGTATGGGTCCTGAGGTAGGACAGTAAGATAGGCATGAAAAGAGTTGAGAAGGATGGTGAAGGAACAGCAGGACTATCAGGTAAAACCTACAAAGCGCTTAGTAACAGGCTTGCACATGGTAAGTTTTCAATAAATATTATTTATTGTCATCATTTTTGTCTGCCATCTAGACAGTCAATACCTATCCCCAGTTAACAAGGTCTCATTCAGGAGGTTGAGACAGAATCAAGAATTCTGGGCAATTCTTTTTAGGGCAGGTGTCATCAAGAACATCTGGAGCTGGTGGAGCCATTCAAGTGGTAGAGCACCATGAGGCCCTAGCAAGCATGAGGCCCTGAGTTCAAACCCCAGTACTACAAAAAGAGAAGGGGTAAAGGGAGGTAAAGAAGGAAGCAAGGAGGAAGGGAGGGAATGAGGGAAGGAAGAAGGGAAGAAGGAAAGAAAGAAGGGAAGGAGGGAGGGAGGAAGGAAGGAAAAAAGAAAGGAGGGAGGGAGAGAGGGACAGAAGGAAGGAGGGAAGGAATGAAGGAACAAAGGAACAAAGGATGGAAATCTGTCCTTAGAGGGTGAGGCAAATCAGCCAGGTAGAATAAGGTGGTAGAATCCAGGCCCCTAAAAGGTTAGATCAAAAAGAATAACCTAGAAGGTAACACCCACGCACAGGAAATCAATGTGAGTCAAATCCTTGTATAGCTATCCTTATCTCAACCAGCAAAAACCCTTGTTCCTTCCTATTATTGCTTATACTCTCTCTTCAACAAAATTAGAGATAAGGGCAAATAGTTTCTGCTGGGTATCAAGGGGGTGGCGGGGAGGGGGTGTGGAGTGGGTGGTAAGGAGGGGGGGGGGCAGGGGGCAGAAATGACCCAAGCATTGTATGCACATATGAATAATAAAAAAATAAAAATTAAAAAAAAAAAGAATCCAGGCCCCTAGCAGGGAAAGCAAGAGGAGCAAGTGTATTTCTCAAAAGCTGCAAGAAAGCACAAACAGAATTCTGAGAACTGAGGCCCACAGAAGGAGGACTCATCACTGGCACATCAGATGCCAGGTCTGACTGGACAAAAGCAGGAAACAGTGCTGGCCAGTCTCTTCTCCCTGGTCTGGATGGATGAGTGGTGCATAAAAGCCTTTATCCAGAGTTTGGGTTATTCTGGGAACTGAATCCTCTGTTTGAGATTGGTGTGCAATTTGATACGCTTCTGAATTATTGCAAGTTTCTATCAGTATCTTTTGTGATGTAATTTCTTCAGTCATTTTATAATTCTGTCTTCAGCTAGTTGGCAAAATGCTCTTTGGTGCAACTCAATGTCTTCTTGAAGCACAACGATATTTGCACCACTATTCCCTTCTCTTCATTTCCTTTCCACAAACCCATCTACAGTGCATAAAGCTCACCTGCATCTCATTTCACTTCTTAACATTCTGCCATGAGAGCGTTTAGCTAATTGAAGAACAAGCTAATTTGGGATGCCTTTACCTACGAAGGTATTAGTGATGGCCAAGAGCTGAGAGCAGGCATTCTCCCACTCTACAAAGCAAAGTATATTCTGGAGGATTGTTAACATACAGAATGCTGAGGGCTTTCCCTCAACAAGTCTAAAAGTTCCAGATTTTTAGTGTGGTACAGATACTGCTGGTGCAAGGACCTGGCTTTAACATCCTCTGTTTAGAGTATTAAACTCCCTAGGAAATGTGTTTTGCAATTTAACAACTCACTCCAATGCTGGTCATAATCAAGAAGTACATTTATGATACTGTTTTTCTGAGCTCCTCCAAATGTTTATTCCCATAGTAGATGGGGGTTTCCTCTGACAGACCAGAGTTAATTGATCAGGAGAGTGCAATATGAAAAAAAAAAAAGACTTGTTGAAGACAAATAACTATTTTTCGCTAACTGTAGTGAGAATGAAATCCTTTACAAGGATACTTTTCCTTAGTGGAGACCCTTTTGACTGAAAAATGACATCATATGATTAGATAAAGTTAGCTGAAAGCAAGCACATTTGCAGAGAAATTGTAAGAAAAGTACTGTAATCTGTTTATAAGTTACAGAAAGATGAGATATTTCAGTATGCATTATACATAGACAAGTTTCTTTCTGTGTAGATGTGTTACGAGGATATATATAGACATCAAAATTACTCAAGGCATCAACTCAACAGTGTATTGTTTTGGCAGGACATAATAGAAATATTCTTCAAAGGCCAAGTGCAAAATACTGAGTTATGCTTATGAAAGCCAGTGCTTGTCTTAGAAAATGCATGAACTTGTCTTTTCATTTACAGTCATAGCTTATTTCTTCATTTCTGTAACAAGGTGCTGACGCTTTCAAAAATGATGGAGTCTACTCCAGGTATTTTACAGCTTATTCAGACAATGGCAGATATAGCTTAAAAGTGAGGGCTCATGGAGGAACAAACTCTGCCAGGCAAAGCTTACAGCATCCAGCAAATAGAGCCGCCTTCATACCAGGCTGGATAGTGAATGGTGAGTAGCTCATGGTATCTAACTCCACTCAGAGTTTGAAAAACATTTGTGATTTGATATGACTAAGCCTCCAAACATTTTACAACTCAAAGTATAGCCTTTTCTATTTCTAGAATGATGTTCTGGGCTGGCAGAGTAGCTCAAGTGGTAAAGTACCTGCCTAGCAACCATGAAGCCCTGAGTTCAAATCCCAGCTCCACAAAAAAAAAATGAAGTTTCAGATAATTGCCTCCAGATACCTCATGAGAATTCAATGCTTTCAGCTGGTATCACATAACTATGGAACACATTAATGATATCAGCAGTAATATGCCCAATTTTCAGCTCAGGACAAAGATAATAACTCAATACATTGTGAGCCTAAGTGTAAATCGGTAGCAGGATTAATCCTTCAGATGACAGGTGCTGTAAGAATAAACATTTATTTGAAATGTTCTTATGTCAAAAAAAAAGTATAGATTAAGATGATGATAATCATTAAGAATGCATTTTAATGCTAGCTTTTCTTTGTCTGGTCCCTTATCTTGCAACATTTCGGGGCTTTTCATTAGCAATTAGAATACAATCAGAAGTGCACTTGTAAGAGGGAGGGAAGGACCTGGCCCAGTGGTTGGAAAGGAATTTGGAATGATTTCCCCAGGTAAACCTTAGCTTTGAGATAATTTCAAAAATAAAGAAATGTTTGTTTTCAATGCATACGTTGAATTATGTGACATTATTCTCATTTAGTGTAGTTTTCATTCCAAAATAATTTGTTATCCAATGTTCTCCTACAACTTCCTGGCAATAATACCAAAGGAAAATTCTCCCACCAATTGAATACTTATGATTGTGCCACAGGACTTAGTAAAACATAGCTATGCTTATGAAAAACAAAAAAATTACAGGTATGAAGGATTGGGAAGGTGATTCATTGAATTGTAAAAATACTAGTACAGTTTTCCCCTTTTAAAGTAGAGAATTTTTAATGCAGGGGAAATCAAGCGGAACCCACCAAGACCTGAAACTGATGATGCTCAGACAGTGCTGGAGAGTTTCAGCAGAACAGCAACTGGAGATGCGTTTGTGATGTCAGATGTTCCCAGTGGTCCATTGCCTGACCTGTTCCCACCAAGTCAAATCACAGACCTTCATGCCACACTCGATGGGGACAACATCAATCTAACATGGACAGCACCAGGAGATGATTTCGATGTTGGAATAGGTAAGAACAGTGTCACGTAGCTTGAATTAAGTGAAAAATGTTCAGTGCAAAAGCAAGGATGTATGTTTTTAATTAACAGCTCTACAAAGTATGAGTTTTGTAATCTGATATTCTTGAATAATGAAACATGATAAATTTTAATGTGGCCCTATTTTTCATACAAAAACAGCGCATTTGCAAAGTTTAAAAGTCAGAATCCAGGGCTGGAAGTGTGGCTCAAGAAGGCATGAGGCTCTGTATTCAAACCCCAGTACCACATTAAGAACAGTAAAAAAAAAAACTTGTAAGTCAGAATTTAGGTGGCATGATGGCACACCCCTATAATCCCAGCACTTGGGAGGCTCAGGCAGTAGGACCTTGAGTTCCAGACTGGTCTGAGATACGTAGTAAGAATCTCTTAAAAAAAATTAATAATAACAATTATAAATTTAAGAAAAGAATATAGTAGTAAAATTCAGCTTTTATTGAAAAGTTAGACTTCTGACATAAACATATACTTTGAATAACTATATAACATTTTTGAGAATAAATGGAAAGAAATTTAACACGAATGCTACTTACTAAACCATGTGTAACTTTTCTTTTTTAGTTCAAGAGTATATCATAAGAATAAGTGGGAATATCATTGACCTAAGGGACAATTTTGATGATGCTCTTCAAGTTAACACTTCTGACCTGGTACCAAGGGAGGCCAACTCTGAGGAAACCTTTGTTTTTAAACCAGGAAAAATCTCAGAAGAAAATGCAACCCACATATTCATTGCCATTCAAAGTGTAGACGAAAGCAATTTGACATCAAAATCATCCAACATTGCACAAGTGGCTCTGTTTGTCCCTCAAGGAGATCCGAGTCCTGATCCAAACTACCCCAGTCCTGGAAGCAATCCTAGTTCTGGAGTTAATATTACAACTTTGGTGTTGTTAGTGGTAGGGGCTGTGGTAGTTGTTACCATTATTGTAAGTGCCACTATTTGTTTCTTAAATAAAAGAAATTCTTCAAGGAGACCTAGAACAGCATTTTAAAAAAAAAACAGAAAAAGCAGAAGTAAAGGATATTTCTGAATTTTTTAATTCAAGTTGTTATCATGAATTCATAAATATAATCTTAAAAGGTCTAAAAAGATACTTTGATTAAATATAGACATCCATGGATATGTGAAAAACTGCCAATATCAAAGTTTAATAATTTTATTTGCTCTTTTTATATATCATAGTGGATAAAGTTTTTTCATATTGATCTCTAGTTGTATATTATTTTTCTAATGCAAATGTTTTCTGAAATATTTCAAATATCATGAAGAAGTTTAAATTATCCTTTTGAGTAGTCAAAACAAAAGCAAATAAAGAATATTTGGAGGGAATGAATGGAGTCTTGGTGCTATTAGAATAAATTGATGGTATTATATTTACCTAAAATCTACAGTTGTACACAATAATAGCTAAAGTGTTAGACACCTGGCCTTTTACCAAGAGGAGAATGAAAGCCTGAAATTCTGCACTGACAACAGAGATGCTTTCCCTGTGCCCTTCCCACCCATCTACCCCATACCTCTGAAGACAAAGACTACCAAGCTGGTTATTCCCTCCCTCATGTTACAGTGCTCAGATGGGTCCCAGTGATAGGCTATTTCCTACCAGGTCAGGCCCGGATTTAGTTCTGTTCCCAAGTCTGCATCAAGTAGCAAGATATGAACTAGGAAGAATAAGAAAACTAAATGGTAATCATAGTTATAGTGATGACAAGCTATACAACTTATACTGCCTGGTACAAAATGAAAATGAAAGGCCTCTGCTTAAAAATTAATCAGAATTTCAAGACAGCAACAGCAAAGAGTTAAACCAGTTCAGAGCCTGTCTAAGCACAGAGCTCTGAACATCTGCACAGACCCCATGCCCGCAAAGCCAGCTCTACCATACTGTAGCAAAAACTACCAATTGCATTATTGGCATGAACTGTTCATTAAAGCTACATGGTACCATTCATTGTCTAATAGCTGCTCTAGTAATCGTGAAAATACCAGGTTTGGAAAGGGAAGCTTAGGCCCATTGCCTCTGGCAGTGAATCTAGAAAAAGAAAATAAATCTAAGACATTTCAGTACGGAAGTGTGGCAGCTCTGTGTGGGACAGCACAGTTCCTATACCAACCTCACAGACTCAAATGGCTACGAAGTCCTGGACTTAAAAAAAGGCCTTTACCAGGGCTAGAAGAGCAGCTCAAGTGGTGGAGTCCTGACTAGTAAGCACAAAGCCTGAGTCCAAAAACTCCAGTACACCAAAAAAAACCCTCTACAGCAGTCATCCAAAAGGATGAAGCTCCTAGAAGTGGTAGTGCAAAGTGTCACAGACTAAACAACTGTTCCCAGAGGACTGCGCAAGCTGTAGTACTTAGAAAAAGGCACACATTCACAGTCTCAGTTGCTCAGCCAGGACTAAAGGAACTACCTTGCCATCCTTCTACTGATGCCTTTGTCCAGAGTGCCCACCAGACCTTGTGAAAAAGGTGGGTCCCAAAACATAGTGCCTAATGAACATTCACACCAGCATAAAATAGGACTATGAAGAGCACAGCTCAAAATAACACAAAATGATACAGGCCGAATGTGGTCAAACAGAAAAATCAATGGCTAGTATCAAATGGTTTCCAAAGATGCACAAATCCTTAATAGCCTTGTGTATTTCCTTCCCTCATCGGGTGTAGACTGGCTGAATGAGATGCCTTAATTAAAAGAATGTGGCAGACCTGCCTTGTCAAAATCCAGCTGTGCAAATGGAGAACACTGGAGTTTCCAAACTACCTGCAAAAGTATCCCTGCTTTCCAGTCAAGCCTCTAGATTTTTCCATTTCCAGTTGCCAAACACCAAGCATGACCAGCAAATGAAACTCCCATTTAAGCCCAGTAAAACAGCAGAATGATGAAGATAAAAAAATTATTGTTGTCTTACGCCACTAAGTTTTGGGATGGCTCAGTACATGGTACTAGATTTGCAAAATAACCAATAACTCTATTAGTCCCCATCAGGAAAACAAAACTATGAAGATAACATAACAGGAAATGTATCACAGGAATTAGATTAGGGAACTAAAGAAATGAAGAAGGGAGTTGGAGGAGAAAAAAATCACTAGAAAGATTACCTGAGTTACAAATGTTAGTGTGTGATACTGGAATCTAGGCAGTCAAAGAATAGCAGTAGGACATGAAGGCAGCTCCTGCAGAAGTCTGTGGAGACCGTTGCCTCTGCATAGCTACCTCCTCTACAGGTTTGTAGCCAAGTGTCTTGTACTGGGCCTTGTAGGTCAGCAAGGTCAGCATTCAGAAAGAGTCAGACATGGGAGTAGAGAAAAGCAAAGGTGCCAGCCCATCTGCATCGGTTTCTTACTGCCTCCTGTTACTTATCTTCACATACTTATTCTCCTCCTTTACTTCTGCTTTTCAATTTCAAGAGAATTAATCTTTGACCAACTCTTAACCCCAACTCCTATGGTTTCTGGGAGATGTAGTTCTAAGTTACCCAAGATGGCTTAGCAGAGCCTCTACAATCACAGAAATATGCAACTGTGACTTACTGTGGCATAGCAAGGAATTTGCTTATGTGGTGGTGAGTACCACATAAGTGCCCTAGCCTAACGAAAAAAAAAAGGCAACAAGCTGGAAGTTATGAGCTCCTGTGATAAGGGGCAACCTTGACGACAAAATATAAAAGCACAGAGATGACACAAAGAGCATCACAAATATATTAAGGATGCAAATAAGAAATACTTGGGTAAAGAAAAAATGGAGGTTGGGCAAATAGAGAAATGTGTACATATAACTGTTTGAAGAATCTTGACAGTGAAGTATGGCTAGGAGTTAGAAGTGACGTGATTAAAAGAACTTTAATTTGTAGAACAAAGAACTATTACAGAAATGGTTTATTAAACCTATTATAGAAACAGTTAATATTTTTAACTATGCTTATGTAAAATTAATAGAAATTAACATATTTTTGAGTCAGACTTTGGTATACATTTGAAACTTTGCGGCTGGAGGTGTAATAGAGTATTTGCCTAGCATGCATGAGGCCCTGGGTTCACTCCAAGCACTGCAAAAGTGAAAAAATAAAATAAAATAGAAAATATAAACAGTGGTTAGCCTTGGTTTTCTCAGCTGTAAAATGTATGGATCCCATTAGACAATGGCAAGTGCTTGGGCTCATTCCTGAATATGATCAGTGCTCAATTCATGGCATCTTTCTTATTAAGAAGTTTTGTACTTCTGTTCTTGAAATTCAAAGGATCATCAGAGGTCATTGTCTATCGGTCAATTAGTTTTTAATCTTTTCATAATTTTGTCACCACTCTGTATCTAGGTGCTATGGAAAGAATGGTGAAGAAAAAGACATTCTCAGTTCTCCTGCTAGGCCACAGCCTAGCAGGAGAGATAATATTACACAAATCACATGATATAAATAATTAGAAGTTCTTGAAGTGGTTTGAGTTTCATTCAGTTACTGCATCTCCATGAGATTCACAAAGTCCATCACAACTAAAATTACAGCCTTCTCACACCATGTCCTTCCATTCGTTTTTAGATTATCCAAAAGCCACAGATTTCACTCACAAAGGACTCTGCTATTGAAGCAGAAAGTAATTTAGTAATCATCTGAATCCATTTTGCTGAAACCAATTTGATAACCCAAATCTGAGAACAAAGGTATTGCATATGTCAGATTCCAAGCTTAGAAAATTTCCAATGTCAATTCTTCTTATTAAGTGAGAAACACTGGGTCAACAAAACCTTCACCACTGCTATCCACCATTCCCACTACCCTTCTTGATACAGAAGAAGACTAGGAGAGAGAAATTGGTTGACAGTTTCAGGCAAGTGCAGTGTTTGAAAAGAACTCCCAAGTACAGTGGTGAATCTCGGGAGGCCCATAAGTCAGGAGATGGTAAACCTCTCACATCAACATTGCCACTAGATAGGCAGAATTTTTGATGCTGCTGAGATTGAAGAAATGAACAGGAGGGAGATGATGGAGAAGACATGTTTTGTAGGTGGGATCACCTTCCTATACTAAGGATTTCACATGCTTGATACACCAAGGAGCATAGAATTTGTTATTATAGAGGTAAAACCATAGAAGGTGGCTAGGCTTAATCAACTTGGGGCATCCCATGACAAGAAATCATGCAGAAAGAAGAGCCTTCCAAATTCCAGTTTAGAGACAGCTACTACTATGAGCAATGTTTGAAACCACATCACAGCTAGACAGGCTCATAAGATATTAGTCTTTCTGCCCTCTTCCCAAGATGCAAGACAGATATACAAAGAAAAAAAGAAGAAACAATTAATTTAGATGGAGGCATTCTCTCTTGGTCCTCTATTTCAAGCCTCTGAGAGATTTTAAGTCTGGTGTGGCTTACAGGAAAGAACGTGGAGAACATCAGCTCAGATAAAAGATGGAAGTTTTTAAGTGAACAGATCTGGTTGCTCTCCTTGGATTGGGCCTATTTACTTTCATTTGTGTCTTCTCTTTCTACATGATCCTAACTCTTGTCTAGGACCACCACAACATATAACTTCAAATGGTTCAGATCATACCTTACATGAGTGGTATCCTTGGAGTTTTACAATTCACAGTCTCTGCACATCCTCATGTGGTGACACCTCCTCCCATCCCACCCTGGGAGAACTCACATATGTACTTTGCTTTATATGATTGTAGAAAATATTTAGGTGTCATACTATTATACTACAGTAGCATTTTAGTGAACACACCTATTCAAGTAATATATGTTGCAACTTAATTGTTTGAACTTTGATCCCAATGCCCTATTTTCTTCAATAATCCACGTAATGATTAACACATTATTAGTTCCTGGTACCTTAGATGCCATTAATGGAGTAAGCAATGTGCAGCACACTGTAAGTCCTGCTATCCCACGATCCAGTGTCCAGGAAATGGAAATGTCTTTACAAGAAGTGGCTTTGTATGTCACGAGAAAGACTGAGAAGTTTGGGGTTGGTGGCGTGGAAGTAGA